AATACAAGTATTGGTCGACATATCATATGAAAGAGCTTTCTCTTCTTTCCATATTATTCCTATGTACTCATAGATTCTTATTGTATTCAGTTGGTTATAGTTCATTGCTATCCTTATTTATTAAAATTTTTAAAATTTCATTCCCTGCCCCCCCTTTTAAAAAAGATTTTATTTATTTATTTGAGAGAGGGGAGAGAGCGTGAGAGTGTGGCCTGGAGGGAGAGGCCGAGGGAATGAGAATATGAAGCCGACCCCATGCTGAGCACAGAGCTGGACATGGGGCTAGATCCCAAGACCGAGAGATCACCACCTGAGGCGAAACCAAGAGTCAGCCACTTAACCAACCGAGCCACCCAGGCACTGCCTACCTCCATTCCCTTCTTCTTGGGGGTCTCATGGTTTCTGTCACTTCCCCTTCCTTCTACCTCTCTGGCCATTCTTCTCCACCTCCATTACAAACCCACTCTACTGCTCCTCACTTAAATATTGGTGTCACTCACTGCTTTGTCTTACCCCCTTTCTTCTCACTTTCAGTGCTATCCCCTCGTGGTCTCCTCCCCTGTATGAGTTCATTAGCTGTCATTTATGCTGATGGATCCCCAAATTGTCTTTGGCCTAGATCTGGCTTCTGATATCCAGATTTTACATCAACCAACGTGCTGGAAATAGTCCCCAGTTATTTCGCTCTCTGTATGAGGAGTCCAGTTCCAGGCCAAAATCCTATGTGTGATCTTTCAGTCCCAACTACGAGCAATTCCAAAGCTTTGCTTGGCGGGTGTCTTGGGGGTGCACAGCTGTTGGGTCACGACCCTCCCCGGAGCTTTCAGGGTCTAATCTGAAACTGGCTCTCACTACACGGAGGGCGGGGAGAGATCCAAGAAAGAGGCAGACCACCCCTGACTGGTAGGTGGCAGTTTTAATAAGCAAAGGGAATTTCTACGTGAGGCTTGTCTCAGGCGGAAGCAGGATGAATGGATGCCTGCACCCGCCCTAACACCAAATCTTAAAAGCGGGTAAGAGGCCCTAACCGGTTCAGCCGCATACACTATGCAGGTGTTCTCAACACTGTATCACCATCTCCAGGCCGTGTCCTTGGAGCAGCCTCTGGGCGTGGGAAAGGCAGGCAGAACCCATATTCCAAGGACAGGGGAGGGGGTGAGGAGCCTCTGAGGAGCTCCCGGGGACCAGCTCTCAGGACAGTTTTCTAGAGGGAGTTGTAGACAAAACCTCAGGCGGCCCCAGGCCACCCTGCTCAGAAGCATCTCTGCATTCCCCACACCTCCAGGCTGACACCCTTTTCACTACCTTGATTCCCTGCCTTTGCACCCCTAGTCCTTCTCCCTCGCCCCACCCCGCTTTTCTTCAGGAGCCTTTTTTCGGGGATCCCTGTCAGTGAGACAGTGCTCCCCAACTGCTTCACCCACTGGATTTCCCTGAGCAGTTCCGTGGAGGGGAAAAGGGAACCCTGAGGAGCCCGTGCTTCTCTTGCTTGTCCCCGGGGAGCAGTAAATGAATCAAGGCTTGCTTTCTATTTTCAGTTGGGCTCATGTCCTGGTGGGCTACCTGGACACTCAGACGGCCCTTTCCATTTGAAAGCCCATAGTCTCTCTTCGGCTAAAGGAAATGGAGTTTGTGAGCGTTTTGGATCTGTGGGTTTATGGTTTTCATCAAGTTCAGAAAATTATTTACCGTTACTTCTTCAAATATTTTTTCTTTTGTGCCCTCTCTTTGTTCTCTTTCCAAATACACGTATATTAGGTGCTTGAAGCTCTGGTGTAGCTCACTGGCATCCTTTTTGTTTCATTTTGGGTCTTTTTTTCTCTCGGGCTTTCATTTTGCATAGTTTCTGTTGCTATGTTGTCAAGTCCTCTGACCTTTTCCTCTGCCATGTCTAATCTCTGTTAACCCTAATTCAGTATATTTTCCATCTCAGACATTGTGTTTTTCACCTCTACACGTTTGATTTGTTGTTTTTGTTTTTTTTTTTTAAATATATCTTTCATGTCTCTCCTTAACATACTAACACTTTACCTTCTGGAACATACGAAATATGGTTTTAATAACTTTTAATATTCTGATTTGCTAATTCTATTTACTCTTTGTATTGATTTATTTTCTTTCTCATTATGGGTTGTGTTTTCCTGCTTCTTTGCATGCCTGGTGATTTTTTTTTTTAAGATTTTATTTATTTATTTGACAGAGAGAGACATAGCGAGAGAGGGAACACAAGCAGGGGGAGTGGGAGAGGAAGAAGCAGGCTCCCCGTGGAGCAGGGAGCCTGTTGTGGGGCTCAACCCCAGGACTCTGGGATCATAACCTGAGCTGAAGACAGACGCTTAACCACTGAGCCATCCAGGCATCCCTGCATGCCTGGTAATTTTTGATTGGATGACAGACACTGTAAACTTTACATTATTGGGTGCTAGAAATTTCTGTATTCCTATAAATATGCTTGAGTTTTGTCCTGGGATGCAGTTAGGTCACTTAGAAAGAGTTTTGTCCTTTTGAGGTTTGCTTTTGTTAGGTGATCCCAGAGAAGGGTTTAATGTGGGGCTAAATTTGCCCCGCTGATAGGCTCCAGAGTACTCTTCCTGATGCCCTGTGAATTATGAGGTTTTCCCACTGTGGCTGGTGAACTATTCCCAGCCTGTATGAGCCCTAGGGGTTGGTCCCTTTGTTTTTTGGGGAGTGGTTCTTTCCCTAGCTTCAAGTTTCTTCACAGCACATGCTCTGTGATCAGTACTTAGCCAATACTTCAGGGAGACCCTTTGTAGAGCTTTCTCTGGAACTGCATTCTCCTCTCCCTGTCAGATCCAACTGCCTGAGCTGTCTTGGGCTCCTAGTCCCATATCCTCAATTCACGGAGCTCTGGGTTCCTCCTCTTCATGCCGAAGGCTGGAAATTATCTCCAGGAACTCAGCCTGGTATTTACGGAGCTTATTTATTTTTCTTCTCTCAGGGAGTATTGTCCTGAGCTACCTATTGTCTAATATCTATCTAAAATATATTTTGTCTTTTTGTTTATTGGTAGTTTAAGGCAGGAGACTCAATCTGGTCTGCATTACTCCGTCATAGCCAGAAGCAGAAACCCCATTACTGTACTGTTTTTTAGATATTTTCTCCTCACCATTTTTTGTGCTTTTTCCTTTTTAGTAAAAAGTACTTCCTGGATTCACCCTTGATTTCTCTTAATCTGTTCTCTCTAGTTTTTATCTCTTTGTATTTTCACTCTTGGTTCTGAAGGATTTACTTGACCTCTAGTGAAATTTTTATTTCTGCAATTACATGCTTAATTTTCAAAAGCACTTTCTTATTCTTATTGTTGTTCTTCTTTTTTAAAAAATATCGCCCTTTGCTTTATGGATGATCTAATATGTCAAATCTTTTAGAATTTGGGTTTTTGTGACATTCTTGTCTTTTCAACATTCTATTTCTTCGAGAGGCTATTTGTTCTGTTTGCTTATTTTTGTCTTTCTCCCTTATGTTGCTAGTTTCTCTCATTGTCTGGTAATCTTCAGGTGTCCATTTATATTTAGGCTATTTCTTATATGAGGCTTTTTTTTTTCCTTTCAAGAGGCACAAAAAATGATTCTTGGGCATCATAACTGATGACTTATTAGTAGGATAAGTTGTTGTGTATTAGAGGCAATAAAAGTTTAGGAACTCACAATAGTAGGCTCTTCTCAATATAACTGCTGAGACCACAGAATTGTGAGCTTGAGGCAAAAGGGAAGCAGTGGTGAGCCACAGGCACCCATCTGTTTCTTACCTCATTTTGATCATTTGCAAAGCTTCTTTGTTGCTTCAGGAATGAACCCAAATAAAACTCCATCCTAAGCAGGGACCGAGTCCTCATTTTCCACTTTTTGGACCTGGACCAGACTTTCTCCTTGCATATACTAAAGCTGTGAGTGACGAATCCATGATACCAGGCATCTCCTTTACCTGTCTGGGTCCAGCAGCCTGCATTTCCAGTGGCAAGCACCTGCACCTTTTTTTGGGCCAGAAGTTCTTAGGAATGATGGGTGGGTATATAAATATCCCAGCTCCCTCACCCCTTGGCCAGTATATTTCTCTTTTTATTTTTTTAAAGGTTTTATTTATTTATTTATTTATTTATATTTATTTATTTAGCATGTGTGTGTGCAAATGGGGGGAGGGGGCAGAGGGAGACGGAGAGAGAATCTCAAGCCGACTCTGTGCTGAGCATGAGGCCCAATGCAGGGCTTGATCTCATGACTCTGAGATCATGACCTGAGCCAAAATCAAGAGTCAGACGCTTAACCGACTGAGTCACCCAGGTGCCCCCGGCCAGTATATTTCTGAGGAATGTGCTCTATACCATTTCCTTGAACTTCTCCATGGGATTAAGATTTACTCACCCCCTTTAATACTGGCTTGTTGGAAGTTCTCCCTTCCATGTATCACTTCCCCTCTGCTTTGGTGCTGTCCTGCACCTCCCAGAAAAACTACATGCTCTCAATTGTCATCTCAGGATCTTCTTGGGGGTGGGGAGCCAATTAAGGTCAATGATAATATGGGCCAAAGGTTGACACCCTTCACATATCTCCTTACACCAAAAGCCCAACTCTTCTCTCTCTAAAAATTCAATAGAGAGATTGATAAAGAGGAGCAAATTCCCACTTCTGTGCTTCTCATAATGTGTTCAATCCTGCTGTGGCAGGGAGAATTCAGACACCCAGAATGTGGCAGAGTTGTTTCTTACTTAGACTGTTAAACCACAGTGAACACAAATCTTCAAGACAAGTTGAAATGTAGGCTCCAGCTGTCACAAAGAATCTCTTCTGCTGATGTTGGGGTTTCATATCTGTTTTTCTCAACCAAACTAAAGTAATTTTTTGCTCCTGCAAAAATAGAAAGCACAAGAACACAGGAATCTGCAGATTTTATACTCGAATAACAATTTAGGTATATTTTCAGGCAGTGATTCTCAGACTTTGGTGTGCATCAAGATCACCTGAGGGCTTGTTAGATTAAACTACAGTCCCCATGCATAGAGTCTCCGATCCACTTGGTCTCAGCGGGACCAGCGTTTGCATTTCTAGTAAGTTTCTAGGTGATTGCTATTGTTCAGGGAGCACACTTTAAGAACAACTCCTTTAAGGAGTTGATGTTCTTCTCCCTCTTAGCTTAGATGATTATATCTTACAGTCTGTTCCTTTTGTAGAACCTTCTAATATGATCTATGTAGTTTTCCATGTAATCGCATTGTAGCTAGTTGACTGTCAAGGTCTTTTATTAGTGATAATAGGATATTTAGAGTTCTCTACTTATATAGTTATCCTTGGGCTAGCATAGACTACATTAGCAGTTCTTTTAACCTAGTAAAATGTTAACCTACTTCATCTAATTTTTAATTCTTATTTTTGCTGTGGAACAGTTTTAATATCCGCTCTGGGTTTCAGCAGTGGCTTTACTCTTGTCTTAGTGAAGGCATCCCATCTTCTTGTCATCTGTAAGACTCTTGGCCCTGGTTTGGGAGGCAGGAAGGGGGTAAGGTGGGAGGTGGGGGCGGGGGAGGAGGGAGAGAAAGAAAGGGGTAGTGAGGGCAGCCAGGGTTCCCATATTCCTGGGCAAATGCAAAACCCTGTTTCCAGTGAAGGGGCATGGAGGAGAGGAGAAGTCCTGGCTCCACTGATGGCCCCACATCCCCAGCCCCCATGAAGGAGCCAGTGCCGGAAGCTGGCTCCAGGTCAACAGAGGGAATCCTGGGAATCCAAACAAAAGCCCAAAGAAAAGGTCTTTTTTCTAGGAAAAGTCCTCTTTGCTGTTCACAAGGAGAAATAAAACCCTGCAGTTTTATTCCTTACAGAAAAACCATCTGCCGCTCTCGCCCTCTCTTGTCTGTATTCACAACAACATAAACAGCTAGACAGCTTCAACCCCAGCAGGGATGATGGTCCCACATGCCTGTCAGCCTTCCCCCCTCAATCTTCTGCCTACCCTGTCACGCTCTTGAGCAAGTCATCTTCCATCTATCTGCTGGAACCTTCTGGATTGTGCATCCCACGTGTATTTGACGGTTACCTTGAATTCAGCCATCTCACACCCAAAAAGCTTCAGCTTGCAGGCCTCCTCTGGGCTCAGCACATGGCCCTCCTTGCACATCTCGTGGTGAGACAGCAGGGTCACCACGCCTCTCTTGAGGGCAGTGGGGAGCCCCAGCTGTCTCTGCCGTGGCTCCATGGTGGGCAGGGGCTGCTCCAGGGTCCCCCGGGGCCAGGCTCATGGTGAAAGTTGCTTTGTTTCCCGCTCCAGTGAAGTCCATTTCCATGTGTTTCGTGAACCACCCATTCACTTCCTCCTTGGTGTGTTTGGTGGAAAGGAGACCGACCCTCACCCCTCCACTTCTTGCTGACCTGACGCAGGTTGTCTTTGTATTCGTCAGATGGGCTTCCACCCAAGGCCACTGTCATCACTTTTTGTTTGTCAAAGAACACCCTGCTGTGCTTCCAGGTGGTCCAGATATCTTTTACTTGCTTTCCTCATGTTGGCCACAGAGAAGATGAAAAGGTACTTGTACATGTCCACACATCTCCACACACGTCAAGTTCTGTTTCAGTTCTAAGCCTTTCTTGGCAGTTCTGGTTAAGGAAACTTTCTTGTCACCCTTGGATTTGGGTATTGCCCTGCAGGCAGATGTGGTGGAAGGTGGTCTACCTCATTTATTTTAATTTAAGAAGAACATTTTTTAAAGGTTTTATTTTTAAGTAATCTCTACACCCAATGTGGGGCTCAAACTTACAACCCCAAGATTAAGAGTCGTGTGCTCTACCAGCTGAGCAAGCCGAGTGCCCCCTCATTTAATTTAATTTAATTTAATTTTTGTTTTGTTCCCCCCCATTTAATTTTAAACATGGAAGAGCAATCTCATTCTTTTTAGTTGTAACGCTTAAGTAGCCTATCCAAATATATTGCAAATACAGTGCAGATTCTGTGGAAAGTTATGAGGTTTCTAGTCTTTCAGGACACTTTCTACATACATAAAGTGACAGGCTTTGAAAGAAAAGTTCTGCTCCCTTCCTTAATTACATTTGCATCGTATTTCCCAGAGTAAGGAAGGAGGTCCCCTGAGGAGTTTCTGGGAAGTTCTGTGGGTACTGATGCCAGGCAGGTGTGGAGAGAGGAAAAGGGAAAGATGTCAGCTGGGTGGCGAGCAGTGGAGAGTGAGGAGGGCCACCAGCAAAGTGTAATTATGTGGTAGAGACCTGGAGGGTCCAGGGTCTGGGCACGTCAGAGAGGAGGAGCAGGGAAGCAGGAATGAGGCAGCTTGGAGGGGAGAGGGCTGGAGAGAAAATGGGCGAGGGAAGGCAAAAGCACGCCGTGAGCTGGAAGGAGCAAAGCAAAAGTTGTCTCTGATGAACCCTAATCATGAAATATGCTACAGTTTTATGAAATAAGAAACACTGTGACATTCAGTTGTTGTGTTGAAGAGCGAGATATAAAAAAGTTTAGAGCCTATTTTATATGAAACATTGTTAGGTGGGTGGGGCGAGTGTATTATAGTTTACACCACAGGAGCCATTTTCCATGTAATCTCTATTACAAATCTCCTTAGGTTCATTCATAGTGAAGAAGAAGAAGGAGGAGGAGGAAGAGAAAAAGAAGGAGAAGAAGAAGAAGGAGAAGGAGAAGAGAAGGAGAAGGAGAAGGAGGAGAAGGAGGAGAAAAATTGGGGTTTGTGGAGAAATGTTATTTATTTATGTATTTATGTATTTATTTTAGAGAGCGAGAAGGCACTCAAGAGAATGTGCGTGAGCGGGAGGTGTGGGACGTGGGACAGAGGGAGAGGGAGAGAGAGAATCCTAAGCAGGCTCCACGCCCAGCAAGGAGAACAATGCGGGGCTCAATCCCATGACCCTGAGATCATGACCTGAGCCAAACCAAGAGCCAGATGCTTAACCGACTGAGCCACCCAGGCACCCAGAAGTGTAATTTCTTTGATGACAAATACACAATAAGTTGTTTGTTCTTGGAAATCGAATTTGCTCAATACACTGTAAATGAACACACTTGTGATCTTACTCATACCTCCCCAATCTAGGGGGCAATCCATGCCACAACCACAGCAGTGTGTATTTCAATTCACTATTACCATGGGGTTCTTTTTCGAGTGAGAAAGCACTAGATTCCAGGCTTAGCTTTATGTTTACAAACCTGCTCAAAAGGACATTGCTTGCAATCACCCAAAAGTCCATTGGTGGATGAATGGATGAACAAAATGCAGTGTGTGTGTGTGTGTGTGTGTGTGTGTTATTCATCCACAAAAGGGCATGAAGTACTGAAATATGCTACAATGTAGATGAACCTCTAAAACTTCATGCTAGGTCAAAGAAGCCAGACATAAAAGGTCATAGATATGATGCCATTCATATGAACTATGCAGAATAAGTCAATCCATAGAGACAGAAAGTAGACTGGTGGTCTCCAGGGACTGGAGTGATTACGTAATGCGTTCGGGTTTTCTTCTGGGGTGATGAAAATGGTGGAACTCGAAATGGGTGGTGGCTGCACAACATGGCCAATGTTCTAAATGCCACTGATTGTACACTTTAAAATGGTTAATTTTATGTTATGTGAATTTCACCTCAGTTAAAAAAAAGAGAGAGAGAATATTGTCTGTGGCACATCAGATTCAAATACAACGTGAAGTTCTTTTCTTCCATGGCAGGCACTCAACTTCTCTCTCCTAGAGCACCTGGGGATGTTTCTCAGATGCTTCTTCTAGCACCTCGAACCTCACAGCAGAGGAG